GTCTATATCTATCTCGATTCGTTTTGGCTGTTACAAACAACCGTTATGTGAACAAAATTAATATACCCTTGTGCACAAGTGCGCTCGGGTATAAATACATACATAATTCACAAGCAAGAAGATAACAGCTGGATTTCGTTTAAATTTTCCCAATAAACATTTTTGTTTCAGTTTTGTGAATATGCCTGTATGAGTTAGCAAATATTATCCGATATATAATTTTAAAATTCAATACAGAAAGTCTAACTCGCCTGCGAAGAAGATATGTATCTGCCAGTCTCAGTATTTAAGTTTAACCAATAAAAATTAAAAATAATAATTATTTGATGTTTTATTTTTTCGTTCAAAAGGATTGATCGTAATTTTTACATACAAAATAAAAAAGGTGTTAGGGTCTAGGAACGAGACAGAATCGGTCTAACGGATCTAGGTTCACCTCTAACCTCAAGAAACATGGCGGATATTATGTGACAAGCACGGTTTTAAGGTTAGGAAGAAATCCTGACGTCATGGAGCCAAACGGACTTCAGATTCGTGGTCAGCGCATTAAAATAGATAGGGATACATATGTCTGGAATAATCAACGCAACAATTGGTAGAGAATCTGTGAGAAGGAAAACCACCAGGAGCAGAGAACGAATCTGTCCCCTGGTTGTGAATGAAATTATGGAGATTTTTAAAACTAGGGGAATAAGGGTTGTCGCCTACGCCCACGATTTAGTGATACTCATCACTGGCGAATTCCTCTCAACGATAAGTGAACTAATGGAGAGTGCACCAGGTAATATCCTTAAGTGAGCCAAACGGAATGAATTAAGGGGAACTACTTAGAAACTCTCCTCAGAGGCAAAATACCTCGGAATTATTTTGGACTCCAAGTTTAATTGGGAAAAAAATTTAGAGGAGAGAGCCAAGAAATCTGTAGCAGCATTCTACACATGCAAAATGACCTTTGAAAAGCAATGGAGACTATTACCGTACGTCACCTATGAGATGTAAACCGCAGTCATCAGACCAGTGAATGCAATAAAAAGGGGCCAGCTCAATAGAATTAAAAATAACATAGAAGTCAGCAATGATTGACGGTTCAAAGATGGAAAGCGAAAATCTACGCTATAGAGACGACGACTAGACTTTTACTCAGTAGTAGAGTTCCCGAAGACAAAGTTACTATTTTTGTCGACTGTCAAGCAGCACTGAAGGCAATAGGATCTAATATAGTGAAATCGAAAATTGTATGGAAATGTCGCACCACGCTGGCGTGACTGAGCCGTGGCCGCAACGAATGACTTATGGACAAAACGGAAAGACTGTGAGACCACAAGATTATTATGATTATCACAAGACACTGTGCTATAACAGCAATGCTTCAACGGTGACGAATACCAACAAGTACTCTCTGCAGAGGCTGCCGTGATGAGCATGAGGAAGAGTCAATTGACCACTATATGTGTCGATGTCCAGGTCTAACGCAAAGAAATTCAAGCCCTTGAGTTCACGCTTCTTCAACAGTCTAGGCGAGCTAGCGGAGGTGGAACTGTTGTGTCTCCTCGGCTTCATCAGGGATAGTACTGAGTATGTACTTCCTATGTACTTTCCTAAATTTAATTAAATAAAAAAG